AACTTTAGTGGATTTTGGGGGACACTGAATTGGACATGATGTATAAAAACTATAAAACCTAAAGTGTGATTTGAAATTTTCATGCTCATCCATTGTGCCTTTAAATTGCATTTGCTTTTTAGACTCCTTGACACAGCTTTACAGATTTTTCAATATTGTCGCTTCAAAAAGAACAATCAAAATTTGATAGGATGGTACTTTTTTGATCTTTAAAATCAAATTGCTTGCATTTAAAACGTTATGATCTTAAGTGCTCATTACAAAGATCAAATTCTGGATGCAAAAAGAACCCCTCTTTTATCACATCTACATGGACTAACCTTTTGGTTTTTAATAGGGGAGAAATGAAGAAGGCATGGCACACCTGGAAAGATTAGCTTCTCTTGAAGAGCCAATGGATCCAATGACCAAAGCTCATTACTATGATGGATTATTAGTACTCTCTAGGTAATAATCCTGTTTTCTTTTCCATGCACGTGGCATTTAAACACTTTGTAATTCGTATTACTGGAAAATAGACCATCTTACCGGGACTGTCTCAATGGCTTTTCAGTGCTTTATTTGGTGCGGGTCGCAAAGCTGAGGCTGCTGAGCACTTGCGCAGGGCTGCTGCTTATGATCCAGATCGCTATGGAGAATTTCTTGAACAATGTGAAAATGACAAGGACGATTTTGTGAGCGACCTTGTAAGTAGCAGGAGAACAGATTCCTGAATTGCAGCGTGCCATTGGAAGTGAAATCTAGTTTGTAGGTTATGATCTTGATACATTCAGCTCAACTGTCCCCTTCTTTTTGTACTGCTTATGGGTCTTGCCCTTAGGTGGGATGTAAGAATTTTGGTACAAGTTTTGTCGTAACACCATGCAAAATGATGCTCTCCAATCAAGCAAAGGGTGATGTTTACAGGCCATTTCTAGCTTCCTGCTTATCTTTTGAAATTTTTTATTTTTTATTTTTGGCTAAATCACAATACGTATAGTGGGCAAAATGCATAGTATAGGACAAATTGATAAAATTGCAGCTTTTGTCCCTTCAGGAATTCAGGCTCGTCCCAGTTTAGCCCTCACCTTATCTCACATTTTAATGTTTATCTACACAAAACTAGACAATTTAGGATTCCTGAGAATGACTACAAAACCGTGAGCATAACTGCAACTCTGCCCAACTATTAGTGCCCCTCGATGGTAAAATATGAAGGATGACTTAGATTCGTCTGGTGAAAAAGATTCAAGGAGCTTATTAGCTATTCTTGAGATACTGGCCATGGCCTTCGGATCTATGTAATTGAGGATTTGGCTTTAATTAGATAAGAGGTTCCTATATGGTTTCAGCTAGCAAGGACCTTGGCTTTGTCACCCCACTACGCAACTGTGATTTGAATAGAAACCAGCCATCCTACTATCCTCCTCCATCTTTATAAAATGGAAGTGACCAGCTCAACAACGATTATCTGACTACTTATCTGGACAAAGATACAAAAATAGTCTATAACCACGTATATTTATTTGTTATCAACAAAGTACAAAATTCTTGCAGAGATTAACGTAAGATGAATGTATACAGCCCCAGCCTCATTAGGAAACTAGGGCCAGCTATCATTAGGTAGCAAGTGGAAAACTCTTCTTCGATCCTACTGGGCATCCAAACTTGGCAATGACTTGTTCATGATTTGCCTTTCTTCTCTTCTAGTATATGCATGCGCAATAACTTCATTACAATTAGTGGAAAGGTTAGGCAAGCTGCTAGGTTTTGGATTTATTTGTCAGCTCTAGCAAGAAACTAACAGATTCTGTGTAACAAGTGATTCATAGACTTTAACTGAGATAGGCTTTGGATTTATAAGAATGTCGTGTACAAACAGTTGCTTGCTACTACAACTTAATAGGAAAAAAGAAAAAATAACGCGTGGACAAGTTGAACCTCGAAATGGAAACAAATTCTCTTCCATATTCTTTCATTTTTCTTGTTGGTGCGGACTTTTTTAAGTACTGTCAATTAAACATCTCGATGATTCAGCAAATCAGAAGTCCTAGTAGCAGCTGTATGTGGCTAGAAGTAGATGACAAGGGACTTTCTTGAGCTTCTTCACGAGGCTTCATCAAAAACCCTTTTACTACAATGCTTGCACTGTACAATTCATCACTTTGTGAATGGCTTGATATTGTTGTTTCACCCAAATAACTGTTACACAGCAACAAGTGGCACAAATCAGAAGACTGCTATAATTCATCACTGACTTCCAAGTGCCTCTGCCTCAGCTGCGAGCTGATCCTAGTCCACTTACAACAAACAGAAGATGATAATAACCATTGTGTTTCACTTGAGAATGACCATTTTATGATGCATGTTTAATTGATACTCTGGATTTTCTGATAAGCCAATAAGAAAAGAACTCCATGTGGACACGAATAACGTCCATAACATGAGAACCAAAGCCACTATTCCCAAGTTCATCAGCATTTAAGTAATTTATCTGCAGCAAACTTCATAAAACAACAAACACGGACATTACTTGTCAGCTCTAATTCATGTGTGAATGGAAGGAAAATCACGCCTTTGCTCCAAAGAGCAAAATTAAGATCAAGAGGATGTTAATCATTAATCTACATATGTCCACTTTATAAGCACCATAATTGGCAACCATGTAGAAGCACCAGCTGCGTTCATAATTCCATAAAACTGAATTATAATACAGGACTCAATGGTCAAACTATAATTTGTTGTCTGTGACTAGTATTCTTGAATAATCACTCTCAATTATGTTAATGTCCTTGAGCAACCAATTAGATATCTTAGTGCAGACCATTCTGCTAAACCTCTTTGAATGGGCAATCGAGCCTTTTATGTCAAGCACAACAAGAGTGTCTCATAGTCTCTAAAGTTGAATTCCTGAAAATTGAACCTGCAAACATACTCTATTCGTATTCCAGCATAGCCAGCAGAGGCAAATGAATGACTAACTGAATACTACATAAGAAACAAAAGATCCTGAGTGTTGGTCCTGACACACCAAAACAAAAAAAAAAAGGTTCTACAATCTACACACTTCATGGATTTAGTATTATGATAAACCAATACAAAAAAATTGATACCTTTTAGCCCCATATGTTATACAAAGCCAGATCCCAAACAGTTGAGACAATGTTGCACCCTACAGCCAAGAATAAACAGAAATTAACCTTCTCAAAATTTCATTCTCACAGAGAAGAAAATGATTAGTTTTCTGACTCACTTTAACCCATCGCAAGTGGGGCAAAGACATGGGTTTATAACCAAAGGATCATACAATGGTGACCACTGAATGGTACCACTTGCTTTGCATAGCTTACAGGGATAAAAACCCCTTCCTTTGCATGCCCTACAAGGCCTTCCATATTTTTCCTGCAAATGAAAAAGAATAGTAAAAGAGTACGACTTATACACAGTATGGGGCTGAAGACTTGAACTAAAATGAATCATTGAGACGTCAAACATAGACAATCACAAGATAATATTAATGTCTTTTAGCAACTCATAGTGCTATTACTTCTTATAAACCTGAAAGAATAAACGGAAAGCCTACGAATTGAACCCAAACAGGACCAAAACAGAGATTTACTTGCATACAGGAAAGCATTTTCTTTAGATGCACATATTTGAAATTCCTAATTCCTAACAAGAAGCAATCAAGCCAAAGATCATATTTAACGCTATAGCCGCATGAAAATCAACACGAACAAGAACTTCAGTCGGCAGGAACAACTTTACAAAAGGTTAGAAATTTTCGGTACCTTTTTCTTTGAGATACCATATCGAACAAGTGAAGAGGTAACAGCAGAGATAGTAAATGCTCCACCAAGGATCACAGCAGCCGATGTGGCTAATATGGGCAGTGCCTTCAGAAAACCTTTTCCTGGCATAGTTGACTGCAGCTGGCAACTTTTGCAACAAAAGCACACCACACTGCAAACCTGCAAGCGCACGGCAAAAGAAGTACGAATATTCTGTAAATAAAAACGAGTTGCAGATTCAAGCTTATCCACTCCACGTATTAACTCAAAAAGATTTCCACAACAAATACATAAGTGCATAACCTTTGTGCTGTCTACAATTTATAGTGCATTCAATCTTTGATTACGTTCTTGCTGCTCCATAATCCAAAAAATTTGTGCTAGGAAAGATGGTGCGTAAATGTGATAATTTGAAACGAGGGAACTCCCAGGGCAGCACGTTATCCTAAGTGTTAATGTAAAAAGTTCCTTTCTTTCAGTATTGGAGTTTGCCCAAAAACTCAATTCTATCTAAAAGAAATCACTCCTGTAAAAGTATTCAAATTCTTGTTTTCCAGAAAAAGAGAAAAGCGGAGTGCACAATTCTCTTTATAGAAAGAAAACGCAAATGAAAAGACCACCAATTGATCGACCAAAAACTGAAATCATTAATTAAAGAGCAATGCCAAGAGGGTCAAGGTTTAGGCAGCTCACTGACCTCATATAATCCAAGAAGAGCTTAGATTTTAGCCCAGCAATATTGATAAAGCTTGGCCACAATTTTGTACCCCTTTTCTGCAAACAAATTAACCGATGTAAATGCAGGAACTTTTGCAAAGTTCAGGGCTTGAGGGCAGCCAAGAGAAAGGGAGCGGAGAGGGAAAGATAAAATGACAGGAATAAGTTGAGAGATGGAACCAACTGTAGAACAGAACCGGTGTCGGTTGTGCCGAAGAAGCTAAATTACTGGCTAGAATTGCACTTAGATCCCTATTATCTTATCAAATTCCAACAGTATACCCCAATAAGATTCACAAATGTACGGTGCCTGGCATTGGCCTGCACATGATTTTCTTATGCTACTCCTCCTATTCGTCTTTTAGCTTTTGCTTCTGTTCAGTTTGCTTCCATCTTTTTGCTTTCCTTGGCCTGATTAGTGATTACCTGTCAACAGTATATATTTTTGTCTTCCCATCCTTGATAATTCCCACATATCATACTTAAGGCTCCCAACCATAGTTCTTAACTTCTTATCCCTCAAAAAGTTAAAATAAAGATCACGCCTTTTGTTTTGCCCAGTTCTAAAACATTCTTTACTTCTGGACTTCTCCAGAAATCCTTTTCTTCCTCCTCTCTTTTTCCTTCTTTCCCTTCCTCCACTTCATTGATAACTCCACCGAAACTTCAAAGCCCCGTTAAAATTTCCCAAACCCAAGTTATTAATGAACAAGTAATCATCAATAAGCAGAACACATATCCCAAGATTGGATTTTTGCACCAAAACGTTAACTAATTAGTAGAAAATAGCAACATAATGCAATGCCCAAGTAATGCTTTCCGGTATAATACAAGTTTTTGTGCTTGCAACCCTGGTTATATCTTCAATGGAAGTAGAAGAAGCTGCCAACTGTTCTTGGGGTGGGAGCCGGTGGAGATGCAGTCAGGGGTGGATTACTCCATTGGTTTCCCGATGACCATCTTCAATTTTGACTCCATTAAGAAGTTCACTCAATCACAAGCTGTGTTTCTTGAGGCTACGCTTCTGATGCTGCTGAGTTGGTTGTTGTTGTGCTTGATTTTGCGCCTTGTGGGCCCTCTTGGCGACGGCCGCTCGCCGTGGTTCAGGATCCGCTGGTGGATTAGCCGCTTGGATGTCTGCTTTGCCACCCGCCACTGGCTTGTAAGATTTTACTTTCAGCTGATTTGTGCTATAGATAGAGCCAGAGCTAAATTGCAATTATTGAAGCATAATGTGCGACAAATTTGCTGTTTTTTTGGTGGATTATTACTTTTTTGGAAATATATGCGATAAAATTACTTGTTTTTGGTGCAATTATTTGCTTGCAAGTTTTGGGGGGAAAAATTAAAAAGAAAAAGAGAAAGCATATGCGATTATAGGTTTGTAGATGAGTAGTTAGTATCAAAACCAAGATATAAATGTGAAATTCAAACGTGACATTGTGTGATTTGCTTAACCAAGTGGCTGGACATACAAAATTGAATCTATTATTGGCTGCCTGGAGTTACGTTTTGGTGCTAGATTATGATACTTCAACATTTACACGTATGTATACGCTTCTATGTTAACTATATGTTGGACATAGAAAGTTGAAGCCATTAGCGTGTGCCTAGAATAACATTTTGATGTTAGATGTCTGATACTTCAACATTCACACACGTATGTATACTTGAACCACATTAACTATCAGAGCTAATGTCCTAATGGCTTGGGATAAACATCCAGTTGGGTAACATTAAAACGCTAGTTCATAGTGAAATACACCGTTCGGACAAGCACCTCGGTTAACACCTCATCATCGCCGCTTAACGCATAAAGTACATCTTTTTGAAAGAGTTTATCTGTTATTGCATCCAATGTGGGACATCTGTTTTAGACTATCTTGGCTTCCTATTTGAAACATGTAACTTCTCTTATTTGGGCATGCAAAAGTTCAATATTATTTAGATAACTTCATTTTACATCTGACTGCTTACATGAGTTTATGAATATTGTGATGTTTTTTAGGATGACCAGAAGGTAGTTATGAAGCGCAAAACAGAGCTTGGTGGAACCTTCTCGATTGCAAGTTGGATCCTTTTTATTGGTCTGTTTGCTGCGTGAGTAAAGATATTATTTATTCATTGTAGTAATGAGTTTCTTTTTGCAAGATTTTATATCCACGTGCTGCATTCCTTCTGTTAGTGATGGTATAATTGCTTTTTTTTTTCCAATGGTTATTGTACTTTGATAATGACAGTTAGTTTATTATCTTCTGCAGTTTGCTGTACCATGTCATATCTAAGAGAAGTGTGGAAGTGCATAGTGTTAGAGCAATAAATGCACCTGATTTAACCTCTTTTGTGAATGACATGGAATTTAATATCACAACTATTTCTAGCATGAGCTGTTCGAATTTACGTGGGCTTGGGACATTAGTTGCCGGGAATCCAGGAACCCTTGATTCTAAAGTTGCTCCACTCTCTAGCTTTGTCAACTTTTCTTGCCTGAATACCAGTACAGGACCCACCATCACCCTTCAGTGTAACAACTGCCAGATTGTCCGAGGTGTTGCCTATATATCATGGCAATTTGTTGATCTCCCAAATGATCCTGCTACTGCTGTTGGATACCAGTTCAAACTAACTGCTAAAAGGCATGGTGATAAGAAGCATTTAAGCTCTGTCAGTGGAACATTAAACAGTAATAGCAATGACCAGAGCAAACCAATTACATTTAGGGGGCCAGAGCCAAATATATTGAAATTCAATCTATTTCCTAGACATTACCGTAATATGCATGATCTAAGGCTCATCCAACCATTATTTCATGATTTCCTTCCGGGCTCATCTTTTACTGATATCAGTCAACTTCGAGCTTCTCTTGAGAACTCCAATGATGGTTTGATCAACACCACCCTGTATGTCAATTTTCTCTCTGACTATATTATTGAGATTGACAGCCAGAACACTGTGGGGCCTGGTGAGTGATTATCTTGATTTTTAAGTCACGCTCATTCTTTGGAATATTCTGTTTTTGCTGCCTGACTTTGTCCTTTTGCTACTATTTTTTGCTGAATTTTTCTCGCTGCAGCTATTATGCATTGCATTGTCTGATATGAACTATAGTGTCATTGGTGAAGTTTCATTATATTCTCCAGTTGTCTGCCTATTATGCATGTGTTCCCTCTCTTAGGAAGCCATATTGAATGAAAAATCTTCTGCATTGGTTCACTTTTTTCAGTGCCACCCTCTATTCTTGTCAGTTTTACAACATCATGCTCTTATGGCATCCTGAAGCACTTACAGTTTGATTGGAGCTTATAGCTTTCTCTAATAATTTCGTTTTTGGAGATTTGGGCTCTATTTTGGAACACCTACTGGCTTGTCTATCAACGTGATTTGGATTCACACCTGAATAAAATCTTTTCGGTCAATAATTTGATGCTATATTCCTTTTCCAAGGATTGCAGTTAGCTTCTTGGCGGATTTGGGTGGCCTTTATTGCTTCAGTATTGGCATTTTCTTCTATTTCTTGGTGCAAGTATGTTCTTTTTAATCCAGCATTTCACTTTGCTTTCCTTATGAATCTCCAATGAACTTGATATGCTGTGGCGTTCTTTTGTTTGAGCATAGTTCAGGGGAATGATCCTAGTAATTTGTTTTTCCTCCAAGTTTTATCTTGAAATCATTTAATCATAGCTCAGGGAAATGATCCTTAGCCTTAGAAAATACCCTGTGATTATTATTTATTGTGCTTAAAGTTATGCATTGCATCAAAAGTAGCATCTCTAAGTTTGAGGTCTGATCATATTAGACGAGTAATACCACATCAATACTAGATGGATAAAGTATTCAAAGCATCTCTTACAAATGGGTCTATCATTTTTCTCTTAATTTTTCATTTTCTTTATATATTTTAAAGGCTTTTGGAGTTTGGAGGAGTCAGGATTGGCTTGATGGAATTCTGCAGTTGTTCCGTGCTCTAAGGTTTTGAAGCCTGCTAAATAGGCATTATACCTGGAAGTCTTATGGTATTACATACTGCCATAATGACTTAAAATTCCCATGAAATTCCTGCTACAAAATAAAATTTGAAGAAGTCCAGCCAGTAGTTTTCCAATGAGTTAACAAAGTGCATGATACCTTTGTAGATTTAGTGGCTGTACAGTTTGGAAAAAACAAGTTGCAAATGAGACCTTCTCCCACATTGCTGGCATGATTTTGTGCTTAAAATCGTTGCAAAAAGCCAGACATATTTCATAATCCTTGATACACACACCACACCTTTCAGGAAAGAAAAAGAAAACATTGGAAAGTCTGAAGGAGAAATTACAAGTATCCCCATCAACATTCTTGCAGATGGGTTTCAGTTTTGTTTAAGGAAATATGGTTTTGAGCTGCGGATTGAAGACATTCACCAGAGGTTGATAGAGATTCATGAATCACTCTATTATTTACTAGTTCCAGAGAGCCACCACGTTATCTTGTTAAAAGGATATTCGGATATGTTTTCTTTCTTCTTTATATTTGATTTGCATCCTTAGTTACCTTGATGTGAAACTAATCTTTATCAACCATTTCACATGTCCTCCTCAATTATGTTACTATACAGTCAAATCTTCAGAGCCATTTGATCACTGGAAATTTTCCCTAGTAACGACCAAAATTTTTGTTCTAGATTTCGGGTGTCGATTGACCACTAAAATTAACTTAATAATGGAAATTAAAAAGGTATTTATGGTAGAAAAACAGTATGGAGCACGTTGAAATTTCCTACTAAACAGAAAGGAGTTTTCCTTTTGATGCTTGGACTATTCAGTTATACTAAACAGAAAGGAGTCATAGAATTTCCTAACCATCTTATTTTACAGTTCGAATACAGGATCAAGAAGCTTCGACACGAGGATAGTGTAATGAGAAACATCAGAAATCGTCGAAAAGCTCAAGAACGTTGGGATAAAGTGAGTTTTCTTGCATAGAGATAACAGAAACAAGTTTTCTTATTTTGGGTTGAACCTGTTTTATACTACATTGACACAAGAAATTCTGTACTTATGATTCAAGTTGTTTGTTTAACTAGTTGTATATTTGTTCTCAAATAGCTGAGGAAATATGTGATGTATACATGGGGACGCAGCTCACTGGATGACAGCCATACAAACGTGGGAAATGGAGGATGCTGTAGCGGCATTGCGGTGGAGTCTTTCCAGAAAAGCAAATCATCACATAGAACAAGACAGCATAAAAATTTGGAGATGATCAGTTTTAGCAGAAACAGCAACCTACCTAGTCATCAGGTAGTTAATCAATTATGGCAGAATAACATCAGTAAATGCTACCTATATAGTTTTATTCTTATTTAACAGTTGGAAATTTCTAATCAAGTGAATTGATAATCTACCCAACAGCAAGCTGTTCCTGAAATCAGCTATGCTCAGGTTACTAAATATTCAACCAAGCCTACATCAAACCTGGAAGAGAGATCCTCATATTCCACTAGTGAACCCGTGAGTTATCTCTGTTTCTTGCTTTGTTACATATAGGACTTTTTAACAGACTAACATGGTCAACTTTTTGTTGGAACTTGCTCTTTAAAGCCATAACTGTATTGTAGTCATTTTTTGTCTTTTGGTTTGGAAATATTGCTTGGCTCAGTATTTCAGGAGCTTGGTATGTGACTTCATTAAGAAATGCTAAGAGTGTGACATTGTGTATCTTTCTGGAAACATTGATCATATCCTTAATTACATTGGAATGGCCATAGAATAATAATTACAGTATAATGGCCATAGACAGGTAATGACATTTCTGATGGTCAAAACCACTGCTAATACTTGGATAAAGTGGATTGTAATGGATTATTAGTTACAGTCTTAATGCTGTTGTGTACTCTCTCTCTTTCTAGACCCCATCTGCAAGAAGACATCTATTTGACCAATCTCCTACAATCTATTTGACCAACCCAGGACAAAAGAGAGAACACAAGAATGAGTACCTTCATGGACTCTAAGAGCAGAAATAAGAAGTAGAGTGTCTTATGTGACATACATGCTTGAAATTTAGATTAGTCAAGATTTCATAATGTGTCGTGAAGTTTGTGACTGAAAATTGTTGTGATTACTGTATAGTGATAGCTCTAATTGCTTTTGTCTAATTTATTTCCCGTCTTCTGTAGTCATTGTGTATGCACTACTTATGCCATATGTGCACTTCTATATTCAATTGGTGTTTTTCCCAGAAAGTTAGTTTGTGGAAGAAGTTTTTATTGGCTATCAGAAGCTGGAATACATTCTTATATTCTTATCTCATCCTAGTTCAGGAACGGATAGGATTTAAAGACGTAAAAAATGTAAAACATGATTCAACTGTTGGTTCAAATCTTGGAGAAGTCAACAAAGCATTACCCCTTCTGGATGGTTTAACTATTCCGCCGCCTCCAGCTCTTGGTGAGTTCTTGTTTTTTTAACCTCCAATTTTTTTTCCTTTTCTTTCTTAATTGTTTCTACACTTCTACTTGCTTAGGTTGTTGCTTTGGCTTTTACAGTATCTTTTGTTGTCTGGTGGGTGTCATATCTTCTCCTTTTGTAATTTTTCTTTATGTTTGCAGAATCTAATGCTTCCGGTGATGTTAATATTGCTGACCTCCAAAAAAGTCTTCAAAATATGTACGATTATAATGTCATCCTGAGGGACAAATTGGTCGCTGCCCAGTCAATACTTCATGCTTTAAGCGAAAAGAAGTCGTCTCCTTCACTGAGAAGTCGCTCATAGTTTTCGCATGTCTGCCCTAGTGAGAAAAATCCGCTGCTGCTTGGATTGCCAATTCTCTGGAATGTGTTTCAAGAAATTCCAGAATTATGTGGAGTGAAACAATTGTTGAACTGACACAAGAACATGTGAAGCATTTGATGCTTGGAACTATCTGCTCCAATTGAAATGCTGATTTTGGTGCCATATTCTCTTGCGCTGAGAAGGATGACACAAGGGAGTAAAACTGCTGTTATGGGGTGAAGATTGTTGTTGCATGATCTGTATATTACGTACATATAGTGCAGATGATATTGAGGGAATAGCTTATTAGCTTAATCCCTTGCATCATGATATTCTTTTACGGGTTTATAGTGTAAAATTGTTTCTTTTGGCTGAGCCAGATCTTGATAAGAGTTGATGAAGGAGACGAGTTTTGCTCATCGATGAAATCCCTTCTAGACCTCTGGCCAATCAACCGGAGGCAAGAGGAGTTGGTTTTCTATATCTTGCTCAATCAACCAAGTTTCGGGACTAAATCTGCAAATTTCTCAATATCTAAGCAGAAATGTCTATTGGCTGCATTCAAACATTTGAAGTTTGCCTAAATACCTCAATTATAAGACCGCAAAGATATAAATATTCTAGCTAACAGTGCAACTAAACGCAGCCAATGTGATGACAATTAGTCAAAACTAATAGAAACTCAGTTCTAAGACCTAAAAGATCAAAGTACAGGAAACGTAACCTGTTCAAAGAAAATACACGGTAAGGGAGGCTGAAGAGGGAAGGCGTAGCAATGTATAAGAATAATCTCAGCTTAACCTTATGCTTAAAATCAACACGCTTGTCACCCAGGCTCCGTTGGAAGACACCCAACTGCCGTGCCTGACCACATCCCAGTGTATCCACCGCAGTAGATCAAGGCTGCTAAAATCTTCAGGTGGACTTTTCGAGCTGCCACAAGCCAATCTTCTAGTGGATTTCTAGAGTTGCCACACCCCAATCATCCAGTGGATTTGTAAAATTGCCACAAGCCACCATTAATCTTCAAGGATGACTAGAGATGAGAGGACTAGACCCATGTCATTCGTTGGTCTAAATTACCTTGTTTCCTTTCAAGCACACCGAACTAAATAATGCCATTCTGGACTTTATCAGTCAGAGGACTAGCTCCAGTGTCATCCGCTATCATTTTGTTTGTCTGGTTCTAGAAAAGTTGCCGTTTCTTGGATGAAATCCCAGAGCATTAACAAACATTCTCTTTGCAGCACCAATATGCTCCTCTCTGAGGTTGTCCTTGCGAATATTAGCCTGATCACTTTGTGCGCCAGAGGAACTCAATTTGCTAGGTCTATCAATATTATCTTTGGGTATGGTAAAACCAGAATGTGATGATTCATTGTCACTGAGCCTCAATTCATTTTTCTTGCCGATTGAACTCGGATTTTTGTCAGGCATGACACTTTTCTCAGTGTAAACTTCAACGCCTGAATTGAAGTTGTCATCCTCCTCATTTTGGACCATCATATTTTTAGCTTGTTTTCCATTAGCATTAGGCTCTCTGGAGGAGGTATCATGATTGTGTGGCTTAATTCTTTGTCCAAGAGCATGTGCTATCATTCGGCGGGCAACGGTAGGATTCTTTGGTGGCCTTTGCTGTACCAGCTCTCCTGTTCTACATTCATCAACAGCAAAAATGCGTTCACGAGCTGCCAAATAAGCTGCTTCTCTCTCCTCAAGAGAGAGTTCAGGCCTTGGTGTTTCTGCATTCAGCCCTGCACACACGAGCATGTTACACTTGAATAAGACTAGATTTACAAACTCACACATATTCTACCCAATAAATAATATATGCAGGGAAGTCATCTGAAAACGAATTCATGTCAACTAAAAGCAAGAAAATAGATCATTGCAATGCAGGACTTGTTGAAGATGAACCATGCAAAGTAGCAGTCAAGCGAGATACAATTGTTGGTCTGTGCAAATCAAGAATGCTGGACCTCTTTTCTATATTAAAAATTGTAAATTTTTTTTAAAAAATCTAATCCTATTACACAACCATTTAATATCACTACAAAACATTAAAAAGTTAAAAAATGACCTATATGGCTCTGATATATTTTTAGCTTAAAACTATATTATTTTGCTCTTCATTGAAAAAGAAAAAATGAAATAAAAAAGACAGGAAAGTACCATTAGGAATAAGCAACCAAGAGTTTGCAGAAAAATGGAATAGTACTCTACACATAACCCAAATCAGGCAGCATTCAGGAAAGTCTTCACAACATTGATTTCCAAGGAATTCAAATTCATGCCTCATGACAGATCCAGATATCTTGCAAATAAACAGGCTAAAAAATCATAACAAAGACGATTGAGGTTAGTTCAAACTAATTCCACAATACAGCAATAGGCACAAATTCAAAAAAAGGCAGTGCAGTGGTGTCAAAACCAAGCAACATCAAAGCCAACTGAACTTCTAACACACTGTTGTGTGTGCTTAGCACTAAAATGTGGAATTGGGAACAAACATTTCGTCTACTACAAATAACTAGAGCAAGAAGTTTTTCAAGAAAAAAATTCATAGCAATTGACAGACATGAAGTGTTTTTTGTTATGTGCGTTGTTTCTTACGAGGATCTGAATAGCACCAATGTAGAACAATACAAGTCCTACTACTTATGCACATGTTGCTGAATAGGTAAACTTAAATACTTGGTCCATTATGCAATTTCAATGTTAGCTGCAAAAAAAATCCATACCTGGTTGATCTGCTTTCTTCTTCTCTAATACTTCCAGAAATTTTGGGGTTGGCAGCAATTCATCATACTGCCACAGTAGATCACTGACAAGGATGGAAGGTCTGCAAATCGAATACTAGGGCTTATCAGAAATGAAGCTTGTACCTGAAGCTCAAAAAAAAAAAAAAAAACTCATACCTACCACCTAAATCTTCAACCTTAGAAAAGCAGACACTGGATTGTTTTTTAATTTAATAAAAAACTGGAGATATGCTCTCAAAATAAGCTTCAATATAATACTATAAAAGTCTTTAAATATGTGGCAAAATGGCCAGCATTTTGTGCAGCCCCAAACCATTCAAGATTCATTATTGGCTGAAAACAAGTTAAAGAAGTGCTCAAGAATCCGCACTAGCTGGTTTGAGTATTAGAGCCTTAAAATCTAAAGCATTGAGAATAATGTTAAACTGTGAAGGACTTGGAAAGAATTTAGGATGCTATTGGCTGGATCAGCCTTTAGAAACATCTATGTCCAGGTCTTATGACAAACCATCACAAGTGCTCCTTAAATCAGCATAAACTTTCTTTTCCAACTAAATGCATACAAAATTCATTACATGACCTCAAAACCAGCTTCCCTATTTCCAGTGTCAAGATTCTCTACTTAGTTTTGCACCCATGCAGACTAAAATTTTCTTTCCGAAGTCCCAGTTAATATTCACATCGCAAGTTCTGAACAAGACTGAGTATCATCCTCGACCTAGAGTACCTAGCTGAAATATTATCGGTAAAAACATTTTGAAGGCTAGCTAATGCTTTCAAGGAATTGCTTCATATGCAACTCAGATGATAAGCCATAATCAAGCTAAAGTTTCATGTTTCAAGTGACCACAATCAGCAAACGTTTTCTTTCAGCTATTTAAGGACTTTTGATAATCACCACTGTATTGCATACATTGATGTCTCTGAGCATCGCTCCAAAACTAAGTGTCTTGCTTCTCCTTCACCAACTGATTCATGAGAAAACCTGCCACAATACAACCATAACCTCTCTTCAAAATCAAACAATACCATAAGCTGGAGAAAAATCAAAAAGTCAATAGCTAAGGCATCCACTATCACACAAGAGGACAGTGGCATAAATAACCTCAGAAAAGGTTTGAAAATTTAATACCCGAAAATATCAGCTAGACGATGCAAGAGAAGGCGACTGTAGGAATCCATTGGCTCTAGCTCCAAAACCCCGTCTGAACTGCATATAACATGATTAACTCCATTATATTTTCATAAACTCCTCTAATGTCTTTGACCATATTTTCCAGGATTTGAAGCGGCAAACTAAGAGAAAGGAAATCAATGGTCATTGCAACGAAGGAATAATGGGTGAAAAGAACTGAAAGTCACCCATTAAAAAGAGATAGCAGACCATTTAGCAACCTCTCTCTCTCTCTCTCTCTCTAATGGGTGAAAAGAACTGAAAGTCACCCATTAAAAAGAGATAGCAGACCATTTAGCAACCTACTATGGACTACCAGCTAGAAAGTACTTAAGGTCCTAGGACACTTCTGAAATAAAAAATCTCACCACTAAATATAGACTTAGAAGAGCATCACTTACATAAGGGTGAATTAAGAAAAAGAAAAAGGTCCCGTAGCCAAATGCAGTAAATACCAACATCTAACTCAATATTATGTAACTCCAAAAAACTGAAAATTTTAACAGAGAATTCCCGACCGAAATCCTTCAAATACAACTCCACTTCCATTTTTAGGTGCATGCACATAAGAAATCTTTTTGAGGATCAGCAAATCAAAAGAGTAAAGAAACATATTCAAATCAAACACACAACCACTCTATAACAATCAGTTTATAGAAAAACTAAAAAAAAAAAATTAGCATTCCTAAATTTACTAATTTACAAAATTCAGGATTTCGAAATAAATTGACAACTTGAAATCATTTGCAAGCATTTAAATCTGCTATACTTAACCCAACTGGAAGTCATGTCACATCGAGTGGAAAAAGGGTCAACACTCTACCAAAGCCATGAGTGTCAAAAATGATATATGCTGCATGTATCCCTAGTCTACATTATATAACATTTCCAGATCCTTCATGAATTGATTGGAATTCACTAACGTGCTAACAAGAATTCTCATCATTATATAACGTCACCGATGTTAAGCAACTTCCTCTCACTCTCAGGGAATGGAATATGTTGACATTCATTTCAGCAAAGAAGCTCATATCTATTAGATTCAGAGAGGAAGTTGTTCTGAAACTACTACTACAGAGACTTCAACAAGATCAAATTATGGCCAGTTAGTGCCATATTTGCCCTTACTGAACTCGTTATTAGCCTCAATACTTATTTTTTGGTATATAAAATGGTTCAACAAACATGAGTACTCAAGAACATTTCTCAAGTCCACGGATTTACACAAGAAGCCATCTTTTTGACTTGTTTCTTTCTTGTAATATCTAGCAATGATTTCAAGAGCTTAAGTATGAACCAATATAAAAGTCAAACATCTAAATCCCAACTATATCGATTAAAATTTGCCCCTTTAGCCATCTGATGTCTCCCATTTCTAGTTATTATATGTGCAGACTGTGACTGTGCCATGCAGCCATAATTCTGGACATTGCAACTCTACCAGTACAAGGCTGTGTCAAGAGAGTGCTCTTTCTGAGTCGAT